TTTATATAATTAATTAAGTTAAGTTTGCATTTAAAAAATTAGAAATCATATATTGTGTAGGGTGTTTTGAATATTTATTTAACCAACACGCAACAACCCAATGATTCAACCAAGCCTTGGGTTTTGAATCATTGATTTCATCTAGCAAACTAATTGTACTTAAAAGAGTTTAGTTAAGGCTTTTCATACTCATCTAGCAAATATAGGGCTTTCATTCTTGGGACTTAGAGAAGAATTAATATTTTAATTATTTAATAAATTAGTGTAGGTCAAAATAGTCTTCGTAGGGTTACCTAATATTTTAATTATTTAATAAATTAGTGTAGGTCAAAATAGTCTTCGTAGGGTTACCTCCAATTAAGGTTTTCTTAAGTGGAAAACTTAGTTTAATTTAGGTCCAAATTTAAAAGATTTCCTTTTTATTTTATCAAATCTTAAAAAAAAAAAAAGGGCTTTTTGCATGAATGAATATTTTAAGACTTATTTTTTATTTTAAAATTTTAAAATAAAATTACTTATAAACTCACTTTTGCCTTGGTAATAAATTCATAATAATAAAACTTTTTATCTTAAATTTTAAATTTCATAAGTTTATTAAAATAAATTTAATTAATAAAATCAAATTTAACTCTAGTGGCAATGCCAAATATCAAAACCAATGTTTTCAAAGTCATTCAAACTATATTTTTATTATTAAAAAAAAAAAGAAAAAGAAAAGAGAGGAGCTTAAGGCTAGTTGAATTTTAACAAGGCCCATCTTGTTTGGGCCTTTGGGCCTATAAATGCCTTAAGTGCAGTGTTAGTATGTGGTCGGGCTTTACGACTGTAACTGCCATTCAAAAAAGAAGCCGATGCTTTACCGACAATGATTCTTTGAGCCGCCATCCTTTCTACATCATTCGATTCTGTTGTTCAAAAAAAAAAAAAAATTCTATATATAGAGTGAGACTGATTTTTTTTTCAATAAAAAAAGGGGTTTCAAGGGAATAAAAGATGGGAGATTATCTAAAATAAAGTGGGTGAAGTTTTTAAATTTTATTAATGGATTTAAATATTATCACATATCATTAATGTAGAATATTTTTAAAAAAATTAATAAATTAATATAATTTAAAGAAATACAAAATAATTTTTAATTTCATTTATAAAATTTAAAAACTCGGCTTTAAAGTATAAAAAAATAGGTTAAATTCTCAAATTAAATATTTAACAGTATCATTATTAATATAAGGCCCAACGAACTCCTCTATTACTATTGGCCCAAAAGAGAAAAGCAGTCCTACTTAATTATTCTTTTGAAGGACCCAAGTGGCCTAACTTAATAATTTAATTAAAAATCCTTGCGTAATTAATCCACTGAATTTTTATGCCAATACACAGTGTATTACTTTAAAAAATTTGTCAATTAAAAAGTAAAAACAGCATTACTTTCAAAAAGTCTTTTTTCTAATGGAGGGGGGTGAAGATTAATGTTATTTTCTATAATTTAAGGACTAAACTAAAATGTTTTAAAATTTGAGAACCATGAGAGCTATTTACCCTAAAAAGGGCATTTGGTTTATTTATGGGCACCGCTATAAGGGAACAAAAAAGCATGGGTTCAAAACCAAACAAAATCCCGACGGCCATCTGCGACACCGCACGAAGCATTAGTGAAGGGAAGCTGAGCTCATTGAGCTCCGAATTGGAATTGGATTGGCCCAACATCGAAGATTATCTCCCTTTCGGATCCTCCATTCAAGAACCCCTCGGCAAGCTTCGCCCGTAATTTCACTTCCCCACTCTTTTCTTTCGATTTTTTTTCAAAAAAATCAGTTAATTATTGATTATTGTTTTTGAATTGGTTTCAGACGGGATTTACTTGATATTTCTCCCCCTTTAACTGACACTGCTGGTGCCATTGTTGATGTAAGCTCTCTCTCTCATTGTAAAAGTTCTGCTAATTTTTAATAAAACAAAAAATGATCGGCTTGTTCTTGTTTACCCTAAAGTTTTGATTTTGAGTAGAGGTGTCTGGTGAAAATTTTTCAAGATTCACTCACATGGTGTTTTAAGTGGAATTCTCCTGAACCATGGAACTGGAATATATATTTGTTTCCTCTTTGGTGTTTTTGGTGCGGCAGTTCGGTACTTGATTTTATTTCCTGTGAGGTTAGCGATTGTACTTCTCAAAATTAACATTGAATTGTTTGATGCGTGATGGGTTATGATTGAATGAAGTTTGCTTATGTCATTTTTAGAGTTTAGTTAGGTAGTGTATGATTTGTTGAAATACTTGCTTTGTTTCTGAGTTTCTATTGTGCTGTTAAATCTGCAGGGTTATGGTTTTCACTATAGGATGGGTAATATTTCCGTCGTCCTTCATTCCTGTACGCTTTCTACTCAAAGGGCACGATAAGTTGTAAAAGATGGAGGTGTGAGCTTTTATGCACTTCTAGTTTGTGCAGTTTTTATGTCTCTATGTATATGTAAGCGTGTATGTGTTTGTGTGTGTGTGGTGTTGGTGGTTTCACACCATACTTATGAGGGAAGAAAAAGTTTATCTAAAATGGCAACTTTTGGCATTCTCTCTTTGGGATTTCCTATTTTCTGCTAGCAAGCTTGTGCTACCTGTATTCTAGCACATTTACCACATGCAAAGTTTATTCCTAGACTTAGTTAGTTCATCATCTTTTCTTTTCATTGTGTTTTCGTGGAGCTAATCTGCAGCTTCTTTGTTGCGTCCTGGAACCACTGTAGCATTCGGGTTTAGCTGACTATTCTTTCTGCATTTTATATTCTTCCTAGTTTCGTTGTCAGTATATCTAAGATTTTTATTTTTTATATTTTATTTCATAAGGTTCTGATCTGACTTTTATGTTGTCTTTGAAAATTAAAAGATATCTGAGCATTCCTTCCATGGTTTGAACAGGTGTTTGTGGCCAATCATACTTCTTTGATCGATTTCATCATATTAGAACAGATGGCTGCATTTGCTATCATTCTGCAGAAGCACCCTGGATGGGTTGGTAAGTAGTACTGCGGACGCTAGCCCTAGCCCTGAAAAGGTTCAAGCAGGTCTCGAAAAGGTTGTATGGGACGGATATTTGAAGCTCTCTCGCCCTAGCCCTAGGCATAGAGAGCGAAAGTAAGACAAACCTATGCTATTCCTTTGCCCCTTTTTCTGGTTATGATAACATCTCATATCTTTGGAACTTCATTTGTGGTTTATGTAGATGGCAATCACTAATATTGAATTTTCCCACCATGTGTAATACTTTTAAGTACATAAACGCATGGGGCATCTTAAATGGTAGCTGCAGCTATGAGTTCATGCTCAGTAGCTTGTGGTCTTGTTTTAATACACAAAGATTATAGCTTTGATGTCAATGCATCAACAAATTCCCATCTAAAGCAATTTATCCATTCGCTTGCAACTAGGTCCCTTGTCCTTGTTAACTTACCCTTTAACAGGATTTTCTAGTCCTCGACTTACACAAGATAGGGACACCAATTTTGAGTAACCTTTGTGTATAATAAGATTATATTGTTAGATTTTTTATTTGTTTTGACTATTACATTTGTGATTCTGTCATTTTATTTCTTTTATGTGAATTGAGCTGCCAAGTATCCAACACTTAAAGTCTTGGCTGATTTTATACAAGCTGTTCATTTTTTACTTTATGCTTGGAATCGCTGATCTGGCTTCTGGAACTAAGAATAGTAGTCTAAATGGGTCATTTCCCACTTGCAGACAACAATGCTTTATTGAATCCGTTCTTTGGTGACCGGAAGAAAACTGATAACCATAATGTACATTTGTTTAGTTTGTTAGTTGTCTTTATAATGATAATGAGGCATGTCTGCACCACTTGATTCTCATTTATGGGATGCTGATTTTATTAATATTAGAATTAGTTGGTTTGGCTGTCCATATTGAAAACAAGAGCCTCTTAAAAATTTGCATTGTACTAGTTTCAGGTTTGAGGTTTCTTTTTCAAATAGAATAAGAAAGGTATCCTACAATTTTTGTTTAGAACTCCGGTCTTTGTTTCTGGACTTCATCTGGTTGATCCTTGGAATGGTTATTGTAGCTATTTTTTTTTTTCAACTTTATTTTTTAATGGCACTAAACAATTGATGATTTAATCATAGTTACTTCAAAATTTATTGTTTGGCCTCGATGCATGATATATAGCTAGAATCAGAATGAACGAGTTGACTGGTTAGCTGACGACAATGGCGTAAAGACTCGGCTGGTCTGCCCCACTTACATCTTTTTCCGATATACATAAAATAACGATTTGAAAGCTGCACGACAACAAAGAAAACCAATCTAAGAAAAGTTCGTCATTCACATGTTTGGATCCATCTTTCTGTTTGTATAAATTATTCATTTAAAATATGCAACCGTTGAAGTCAATTAGCCATTTTGGTTTCTTGTTGGAGCACTGGTGGTTGTGGTATTTGTCTTGATGAGAAAATTGTGGTCATTTCGGCCCCATTATCCTGCAAATGATGCTGGGATTGACTCAAATCATTCGTCAACCATTCAGATTTATCTTCTCCTTAAAATAAAACAAGTAGACTCCTATAATTCAGAACCCGGAATTCAATCATCGTGCATCAATTATGACAGATAAGAAAACCCAAGTTGCAGAAAAAGGTAGAATCTAAAACAGTAGTAGAACAAGTTTTCATCAAGGCAAAGCTGACATTAACACAATTGCTATATGTGAACGCAGTGAAGACAAAATTTCCCTCAAACGTGTCCAACCAAAACAAGACTAATAATACTCAAATGTCTGGCAGTCAAAATACTCAAATGTCTCCTTTAAAACTCAAACCAGATCCCAACATTTTCTTCTCTCCCACACCTCCGTTTTCCACACTTCCAGCTTCCCTCCTGATGGAAAGCAACCCTCCCTAACCTAACTGACCCCACTCCAAAACTCCTCATATAAGAAACCCTACCTCACTAACAAAGAACAAGAAGAAGCTGCAAAAAGAAAGAAACATGGGTTTTGCTAAACTGTTTTTTCTCCTACCAGTTTTGCTCTCAGTTCTCACCCTGGAGAACAGCGCTGCTCAAGGCTTCAACTGTAGCTCTCCAAAAACATGTCGTGCCCTGGTTGGCTACATCACTGTCAACAACACCAACATCAGCGCCATTCAATCTCTTTTCAACGTCAAGCGCCTCAGGAGTCTCCTCGGAGCCAACAACTTGCCTCTTAGCACTCGAGGCAACCACACCATACCTGCAGAACAAGTCATCAGAGTCCCCATCAATTGTGTTTGCTACAACAACACTGGAACTTCCAACGATGGCACTATCTACACGGTTCAGCCAGACGACGGTCTATACCACATAGCAGCTGAGGTATTCTCGCGGTTAGTACTGTACCCGCAAATTGCAGCGTTCAATGGGATTCCAAATCCGAATGTGATAGCGATAGGGCAGAAGCTGAAAATCCCGTTGCCCTGTAGCTGTGATGACGTCGACGGCGAGAAAGTGGTGCATTACGCACATGTCGTGCAGTCAGAGAGTACTTTGGGGGAGATTGCTCAGGAGTTTGGAACTAACGAGGAGACTCTGGCTAGGATTAATGGGATAGCTGAAAAAGACTTAATAGCTGGCCAACCGATTGACGTTCCGCTCAGAGGTATAGTAACTTTCGTTTTACCCCTCTACTAAAAGCTGGGTAGGTCTTGATCTGTAGATGGTATAGATCAATAGGTGGGAAGCTAGAAATTAGGCAATGAAATTGGACAACCTCTGCAATTTTCTTAGATATTTTTCTGCCATGTCTGGTTAACCTTTTCATGCTTTGGCATCATTAAATTAATTAAAGATAATACTAATAGTAAGACTGATTTAATGGTGAGAACAGCCCAAGTTTTGTCAAATCATTATTATGGTATGGCCCACCACTTTAAAGTGTTTTTCCTTCCACCGCTGGTTTCCACTTGCAAATGTTTGATTTCATGGTATGGTCTCAATGCCTTTGGGTGTTGGCTATTTGAGATACATCCTCATCCATCTTGGATTTACGTTTCAGGTTATTTCCATCATATGTAGCCATGATGCTTTTGGGGTGATGGCAGAAATATTGTAGTTTTCATAGTTGAATTTTTAGTATAAGAGAGCTTGGAGAGTGATTGTTTTTCATATACAGATATGCTACTAATTATTTTTATTTTTCTGGATATATATTTATATGGTAAATATTGTATTAATGATTCCATTCTTTTGTTTTGTCCCACCAAAAGAATCCTATGATTTAGGTTTTAGCATATATATTTTCCATTACTCTGTACTTTTCCTCGTCTAGCTCCAATGATAGCAGACAATCTTTCATTTAGTCTCCAAAAGATTGTACGCTTTATGACCTAAAGTCATTGTAATTTGATGGTTTTCATCTCTTTTTACAGCCTGTAACTCATCAGTGGGAGATGACTCGTTGGACTACCCTTTGCTTGCTGCTAATGGCACATACGTCTTCACTGCAAATGGTTGTGTGAGATGCACGTGTGATGCTGCTAACAACTGGACGTAAGTGGATTTTCAAATGCCTTGTTCTGTAAGGAATTTGGCCTTTCAATATGCTAGTTTCTTCAGGATCTAATTATGTATATCTATGCTGACTTGGTCAGATTACACTGTGAAGCATCCCGGAATAAACCATCCAAGTGGGATGCATGCCCATCTATGCAATGTGAAGGTTCAGCAGGTTTATCCCTTGGCGATAGTACCCCCTTGGGTTGCAATAGATCCACATGTTTCTATACTGGCTTTAACAACGCAACCATCTTCACACAACTTGTTCAGGACTCCTCTTGTTCAAGTAAGTAAATATAACCCTCTAAACTGTCTTAATTTGCAGACATTTTTTCAGTATGTGGCTCATAGTCCAGGGCATGCAAGTGGCCATTTGTCTTCCAAATTTCAACATCTAGGAAAGGCCAAATCTTACAATCTTTTTGTTTCTCTGTTTTGAATGAACAGCATCCTCTCCAAGCAATGATGTTTCAAGAATCAGTTTGAATTGGGACTTTCTTTTCCTCTTGGTCTTGCTTTGTTTCCCTCTATTCCAGTAAAATGTTATTACTCTCAACAGGGTCCCAGTCCATCACCCTCTATTTTGCGGTATGAAAAACCGGGAGTTGAATATTGCAATGTAAAAGATGTTTCTTTTTTATGATACTGTATCAGAAATTATTGAATTGGTCAAGGCAAATTCGATGTGGTGGTGAATAAACTCTTTCACAGTTCCCTCGAAGAGTCATCTTACATTTTGGGCTACGTAAACCATGGAATAGAATTCAAAACGGAGTATCTTAAAGCAAATTTATTCAAATCGTGCTTCATACATGATTATGTTAATTTAAGCTAAACCAGGAATCATTTATTGAAAAGAGGGGACAAACAAGATGATGAAGCATAATTTTTGAGCTCTAAATTATGAGAAAACATGAATTTGAATTGTCATGGCATGCAGTTTAAGAAGGGACATAATCCAAGGGGGCCATAAGGTTCAAAAAGTTCAGCAAAGAATCCCTTCTTCCGTCTGGGATTCCATCCCATATCTTTGCAAAGCTGATCATTATACCAGATATGGAGAGCACCTATGCACTTTCTACGATAGTATTCACCCGAGTATTGTTTCAAGTATTCATCCCATTTTGTTACATCTTTTTCCATCTATTTAATGCTAGGTAGCTTGAATGTGCCATCAAGAAGTTATGCAAGCCATCGGCATCTTATCTCTGAGGTGTACAAATCTGCAGCACTCTCAGAGAATCCGATCACGGCTAGTTGAGGTATCCTAGGCTGAATGCACTCCCTGATCAAACAAGAAACTTGATGAGAATTGGTAAATGTAGATATATAAATGTGTAGATTAATTCTCTTGGAAGAAAGAAAAAAATTTGACCTGTAGAGTGGAAGTGCTGCATCAGGGGATCCAGTTATATAGTCTTGAAAGGTTTGGGACACAAAAATGTCTTTGAGCATTTTTTCCCCATTGAATCCTGCGGCCAAGATGACCATGTCTGCTTCTACAGGTGTAGTCTCACCTTCAACCAAAACGCCATTGTGACAGAAACTGAAGCTGGGGGCCTTTTTCAATTTGATTTTTCCCTCTTCAACTTTGTCATAGAATTTTTCTGGGACCTTTGAGATCAAGCAAGAACTGATTTCTTGGAGGAAGCTATGTGTTGGGACCATGCCATGTTTTGCCAAACGAAGCTTCCTTGTTATATCACTTTCAACAAATTTTGAATATGCCCATCTCTGTCAAATATTTACAGGTAAATGAGTAATCATCCTTCATAAACATAATGGAAAAAAAAACTATACGAGTAAAGAAAATAAATTGAGGATCATCTGACTCTAACGTGAAAATAGAAAGGGAAGGAAACGAAATATGTTACCAGAGGTGCAAGAATTGTAGCTAAGAGAGCAAGGAGAAGCCCTTCACCAGGCTTATGAACCATAAGCTCTGAGAAACGATTAAGATACATATTTGCGAGTGAAAACCCCCAAGGAAGATAATCAGGGACATTCCAGTGTGCAGTCCTGCAAAAAACTGTACTAGGATTTTCCACCCCTGCAAACACCAGTTGAAATTTAAAGAAATTTATTTCCTTGGAACGATAACAAACAGTTTAGATTAAATTCTATTTAATTACCATTTGCAGCTGAGCACTCCATTGCAATGTCCAATCCATCTCTGGATAGTCCACCGAGTGTATTACCTTACCATGAAATGCTTCAGGGCCCTTGTTTGGTGGGAATTCTGGGATGTTTGGTAGACCACTGAACCGCCCCACACAAACGATTACAAAGTCCACTTGGTAAATCTGCAATAAAATTCATTGATGTCTTAATTTGAACAAAGAAAATTTACTGCATGGAAAGGAATCCAGGTAACCTTTTTCGTATCATTTTGTAACACAAATCACCATTTGTAATTGGTAGATTAACATACCTCAGTTGAAAGGGTTTTCAGGCCTTCCACAATGACCTTCCATTTCCCTTTGGAGCTGAAGGGCTCACCAGTGCCACCCCACAAGCTCCAAGATTGAATCTCTTCGTCCTGGGGACCGTTACACTCAATACCAGCAACTTTGGTGTTGAATTTGATTTGCTTAAGCAAGTCAAAATGTTGTGCATATGCCCGAATGTAATAGAAGACCTTGTATTGGTTAGGAAAATCTTCTGTGACCGAAGATGGCCAAGGAAAATCTGAGAACTGATAAAGTCGCTTGGCAGTTTGGAGCTTTGTCGTCTCCACCGTTTTGGTCCAAACCCCTCCAACGCTGCTTTGTGATTCGAAAACAATTGGATGGAAACCCTTTGACAAGGTATACTTACAGGCAAGGAGGCCACTTATACCAGCTCCAATAATAGCCACCTGTCTCTCCATTGCCAAATTCTCTGATATGCTGATCTTCTCACCTTTTTTTGCCTCTCTCTCTATATAGACCTCTGTATACAAGAGCTTGAGAATTGAACCGACTTAGTAGATATTTCATTATAAATATTTTACTTTCTATAAATTGAACTAACTGGGTCTACTTAGTGGCATTTCTTTCTGCTTTGCTTGATGTAATTATTTATTTATTTTGAACTAGCTACATAATGACAATTCCTCGTGTTCCTTTACTGACTCTTGCAATGCTGGAAATTTTATTTTATTTGTAAGGTCCAAGATCAATGATTCTAACTTTTTATTTAATCAATGTATTCAATATAAATACTAATTAATAACACTCGAACATTTAATTTAATATTAATAATTGATGCATGATTTTTGTGAATCCCCTAATCTCAAATAAAAGAATAATTATGGTAATGCTAATCTTATTAATGCATTAATATATGTTATAAGATCTATGTAATTGATGAATGTTTATCTATACTTTGAACAAATTAATTAATATAATATACTTGCACCTGCTTTATTTTATTTTCTTTGGGTGAGATGAGAATGATGCCAAATTGTTGGTCATAAAAGAAAAAAAAAGTTAGCGGTCGAGGATTTTTAATATTATTTAATAAATATCTATTATTATTTTATAAATGAAAATTTTAAATTTTACAAATAAATTTAGTAAGATGAAACTTGTATATTTAATAATAATTTAAAAATAAAATAAATGTTAATTTTTAAAATTATTTGTTGAATTAAATATATAACAACATGTAAATACATTACAAGGGTTTTGATTTTTAGCAGCGTTTTTTTTTTATCATTTAGCGGCGTTTATTAACGTCACTATAAGATTTGCGACGTCTGCGAAAAATATCATGCAGAGTGTCGCCTATACACTTGTCGCAATAAATAGTGAAGTTTTTCGAAAAAATGCATCAATATTAGCAATGTTTATATCTTTGAGACGTCGCTACTTTAAAGGTGTTTGAATCTAAAAATGGCTCAATATTAGCGGCGTTTGTATGTTTTAGTCGCCTCTAATTTAGTGACGTTTTTATGAGAAAAATGCCATTGCATTGACGGCGTTTGTAACAGAAAATATCGTTATTTTAAAGGTGTTTAAATATAAAAATATCTCAATATTAGCGATGTTTGTATCTTGCAACTTATTAAGCTTTCAAGGGTTTGATTGTCGATAATGTGTAGGATCTCTCAAATTATTTATATACTCACTATATAGCATCATGATAAAGTATTAACAATAAAAAAAACACAATAAATTATGCCTAATGTAATGAATAATTTCTTTACTAAACAACTTACGTGTAAAATGATTCAATTGAGTCATAATGAAAAATAACATATCGATGTGCTTGTGCCCAATATTTATCATCTAACTCCACCAATTTAGCTTTGCCTATGGGTTGTCCAAAACTTTGAAAAAGATAATTATAAGCCAAGTCTGTATGCTGCATACCAACATTTCTCGAAGGTCTATTAAATATCGTTTCAACATCTTCCAAATAACGAGAACAAAATGTCATATACTCTTCTGCTAAATATCCTTCAGCAATCGAACCTTTCAGATAGTATTTGTTGCGACAATAAGACTTTAACCTTTCAGATAGTATTTGTTGCGACAATAAGACATTAGTCATATGTTATTTTAAGTAGATTGGTTTGATAATCAATAAAAATGTAATTAATCTATTAACAAATAATACATTTCAGTAGGATACATCCATCGATAATAAATCGGCCTATCAACTTTTACTTCATATGGAAGGTGGATAACCAAATGCATCATAATAATGAAGAAGTTTGGAGGGAAGATCTTCTCTAAATGGCATAAAGTAATCGCGGGTCGATCTTGAACTTTGTCAAGCTCTTTCATATTCATACATTTCTAACATAGAGATTTAAATATGTTACTTAATTCAATTACCACAGAAGTTACTTGCTTTGATATTGATGAATGTAAAGCAATTGAAAGTAAGTTTTGCAGCAAAAAATGATAATCATGTGACTTCAATGAAAAAATTTTCACTCTTTCATATTCACACATCTTGATATATTTGACGTATAGCATCCGAAACTTTGACATTTTTTAAAACCTTGCAAAACACATCTTTTTCAACTTTAGAAATCTTAAAACAAGCAGCAAGCAATCGATATTTGTCTTTAGGATGCAACATCGGATGAAGGTTTTGGTGAATCCCCATATCAACTAGGTCAAACCCACTCTTTAAGTCATCCTTAGATCTTCTATTCACATTGAAAATTATCCCAATAAAATTTTCGTAAACATTCTTCTCTATGTGCATCAAATCAAGGTTATGGCGTAATAAATTATATTCCCAATAAGGTAACTCAAAAAATATACTTTTTTTCACAATTCATACTCATTGGGGGTCATCTGCTTCATCGTTTTCTTCATCACTTTGAACATCAAGATCATCAACTTTTATATGACTATCATCAACTTGCGTAATACGAGGCCAGATACCTTCAAAGATGTCCCTCACTCTTTTTCTTGATGGAGTCATTTTTTCATATATGAAATTGATATCTTTTAACTTTGACAAGATATTAGACCCACTAATGGGTAAATGCGATCTCCTCAACTTTTCAGTTTTATTAAAGAGATATTTTTAGAATCTAAATTGATGATTATTATCTAAACATCGACAATGTCCCATATAACAGAACTTCCTACCATTACATAACCACGTTGAACATGTCTGTGCAGCACAACATGAATAAACATAACGACCTTTTATACTCCAACCAGATAAATTTGCATAAGCAAAAAAATTATTGATAGTCCATAATAAAGCAATACGCATATCGAAGTTCTCTACTTTTGATGCATCATAGGTCTCAACTCTTTCCCATAATTGCTTTAA